GGCTGGCTCATGAGGAAGTTCATACTGAGCACGCTCAAGTCACCAGTTCTGCTTTCATGTCAGGGCATGAATGCAAAATGGAATGTAAGATGAAATTTTAAAGAAATGATTAAATTAAAAACAAACAGAAAAATAAAGTTCAATATGTAACTGTGAAAATTATTTACTAATCATAGGTTAGAAATACTGTGTACAAACTCAACCTGTAATGGAACTTAACATTACTGACAGGAAAACAAAGCACACCCCCAACTGTGAAGCATGACGTCCAATCAATAGTAGTTTCATAGTATTCCTGCCCAAACTCTGTAACTATATGGGTAGTAAGAAAACATCTGCTTTCTTCCCTTTTCTGTCCCCAACTCTGGAACTCCATTTTACTCACCAAAGTAATTTTGAGGCAATTCTTGCTTCATACCACTTCTGTAAGCATTGAGTTACATTTTCTAGCTCCCCCTTTTGTTAACGAACTACTGAGTTTAATTGGGGTTCCTTGCATGAACATGGGCCAGGGTTATTTACTAGAGCATGGACAGCCTCCCAGAAAAACAGCACTCCTACCAGCAGCCATCAATTTCCAACAGTATTTTGGTTATAGATGGAGGCTTCATAAGCACTACCCCACACATGCAGGAATGTTGGTGAGCTGGACTTTGTGTGTAGCCTGTGCAGGCCATCACAACTGCTGGGGCTTTGTTACTGCAATGGCTGTGTAACATCAATAAGACAATGCTCTATTTCATTCCTTGTTTCACAGGACTCCTTGCTTTCCTCTGGCTCTTACATTCTTTCAGTCCTTCTATGCATCTCTCTGAGCATTCTCTCTCTCTCTCTCTCTCTCTCTCTCCCTGTCTCTCCTCTGTCTCTTCTGTCTCTCTTTTCCCTCTCTCAGCTTCTTTTATTGTTTTATTAAAAAACAAAAAAATAAAAGTCAGGAGTTAAATATTAGGGAGTAAACCCAACAGATCAATGGAGTGCTGGATAAATGATCACCGGACCCTCTTCTCTACCTTCCCAGAAAGCCTGCTCATCTCTTCCCTATTCCTCTGTGTCTAGTCAACCAGAAAACTCCATGGTCCACTCCAGCCAGCTGAATGTGGACTCTACCCTCTGAATCAAGGCCCAACTCCTTCTGCCTTCTGTCCCTCTACAGCTGCCTTTATATAACCTAACAATGACAGCCCCAGGAAGGACTAAGTGTACTAAGATACTAACATGCATATTACATTTTATCTGATGTTATCTGCCCCCTTGCTATGCTACATGTGGCCGGTGAGAGAGCTTGCCCCAGGATTATGAGAGTGAGAGAACTAGACCTGCCCCACACCAGCTGCCACACACAGGAGAGTGGGCCCTGTACCCCACCTGGGCAGCACACTAAATCTGACCCTGTAGCCAGGAGTGCAAGTGAGCCAGCCCTGAGGGCTGAGGGCAGGAGAGCTGTCCCCCACCCCCCCATTGTAGAAAATTATTTTAAGGTGTGTTATATTTGTTTATTCTCTGGAACATTTGTTTAAGGATGTGAAGATGTATTGCTTTTGTTTATGCTGTATTTGTTTAACTCTGTGAAGCTGTGATTCGTTACCTCTCTAAAACACCTGATGGTCTAATAAAGAGGCGAATGGCCAATAGTGAGGCAGGAGAAAGGATATGCGGGGCTGGCAGGCAGAGAGAATAAATAGTAGGAGAAATCTGGAAGAGAAAATAGAAGAAGCAATGGGAGAACAAGGAAAGAAAGATGTTAGGAGCCATCCACCCAGCCTCATAGCCAGACTCAATGTAAGAATGAAAGTAAGTTTTCAGAAGTAAGAAAAGGAAAAGGCCTAGAGGCAAAAGGTAGATGGAATAATTTAAGAAAAGCTGGCTAGAAACAAGTCAAGCTAAGGCCAGGAATTCATGAGTAATAATAAGCCTCCATGTGTGTAATTTATTTGGGAGCTAGGTGGTGGTCTGTGGCGGTATCTTGCTTTGCCAGTGAACTTACAGTGGTGGTTACATCCTATGGACATGGCTTCAGGTGTGCAGATGCGACCCCTTATAAGAAAGATGAAGGGCTGGATCATTCTTTTGGGTTGTGGTGAGAACATGGGAAGGACAGAGCCTACATCTTCTGGAGCAGGAAGACCATGGTGGTTATTTACTATTATTTGTGAAAGTGCTTCCATAATAAATACCTGTTTATCCTTTATCTTGGATCTTGTGGAGTCATTTAAACCCTGCCTTCACTGGCCCCCCTCAAAGAACAAAAAAGGTAAAAGAGTAAAGAAAACAACAACAATATGGGGCCAAATTTCCATGTAGGGCCTAAAAGCTCGGGGAAAGAAGAAAGAAAAAGGATGTGGCACCTTGAAGAGGCACTGCTATTCTGTTGGCAGTGTTAAGTAGAAACTAGAAATGGCAAGTTAAGAAAAATTGCTTGTAGGGAGGCGAGATTGGGCCTCCGGCAGGGACACCCCCCATCCCCTGCCCAACACCCATCCCCTCGATCTTCCAGGCCGCTCCTGGCATCCAGAAGACCCGCCCACACAGGAAAGACATCAGCCCTTCCAGGCCCCAACCTCCGGCAACCCCAGCTTCAGCTTAAGCTTCAGTGTCAGCATCCCCAGCTTCAGCTTCAGGAAGAAAGGAGACCAGTGGAGACGGAAAGACCCCACCAGCACCCACTGGAAAAAGAGATGGGAAGAAGACAGAATAAGAGCTCACTCAGCAAAATAAAAACCAACATGACTCCACCAGAACCTAGGGAACCAACACCAGCAAGACCTGAAAAGTACTACATAGATGAAGCAGAGGAGACAGACCTTAAAAATTATTTTATGAAGATGATAGAGACCCTCAAAGAAGAAACGAGGAAATCCCTTAAAGAAATAGAAGACAAAAGCAAATAAAAAAATCCATGAAATGGGGGAAAAAAGTCAAGAAATAAACAAATCTCTCAAAGAATCTAAAGAACACCAAGAAAAAACAACCAAACAAATGAAGGAAACAACTCAAACAGTTGAAGTATTGAAAGCTGAAATAGAAACGATAAAGAAAACACAGAAAGAGGGGATGCTGGAAATAGAAAAGCTGGGTAAACGATCAGGAACTACAGATGCAAGTATCACCAATAGAATACAAGAGATAGAAGAGAGAATCTCAGGTGTTGAAGACTCATTAGAGGATATAGAGTCGTCAACCAAAGAAAATCTCAAAACCAACAAATCCTTAACACAAAATATCCAGGAAATATGGGACACTGTAAAGAAGCCAAACTTAAGAATAATAGATATAGAAGAAGGCAAAGAAATAAAACTCAAAGGTACAGAAAACATATTCAACAAAATCATAGAAGAAAACTTCCCTAACCTAAAGAAAGATCTGCCTATGAAAATACAAGAATCTTACAGAACGCCAAATAGGCTGGACCAGAAAAAGAAGTCTCTCAGCCATTTTAGACTCCCCTATTGAGAATTCTCTATGTAGTTCTGTAGCCCACTTTTTAATTGCATCCTTTGGTGTTTTGGAGACTTGCTTCTTGAGTTCTTTGTAAATTTTGGATTAGCCCTCTGTCAGATGTGGGGTTAGTGAATATCTTTTCCCATTTTGTGGACTGCCTTTTTGTTTGTTGACTGTTTCCTTTGCCTTACAGAAGCTTCTTAGTTTCAGGAGGTCCCATTGGTTAATTGTTGATCTCAGTGTCTGTGCTACTGGTGTTATGTTCAGGAAGCGGTTTCCTGTACCAATTCATTGAAGAGTATCTCCACTTTTGCTTTTAAGAGTTTCAGTGTGGTTGGATTTATGTTGAGGTCTTTGATCCATTTGGACTTAAGTTTTGTGCAAGGCAATAGACATGGATCTATCTGCAGTCTTCTGCATGCCAATACCCACTTATGCCAGCATCATTTGTTGAAGATGCTTTCGTTTTTCCATTGTATAATTTTAGCTTCTTTGTCAAAAATCAAGTGTTCATAGGTGTGGGGGTTAAAATCAGGGTTTTCAATTTGATTCCATTGGTCTACCTGCCTATTTTTGTGCCAATACCAAGCTGGTTTCAAGACTATAGCTCTATAATAGAGCTTGAAGTCAGGTATGGTGATGTCTCCTGAAGTTTCTTGATTGTATACATTTGTTTTGGCTATCCTGGGTCTTTTGTTTTTCCATATAAAGTTGTTTGTTGTTCTTTCAAGGTCTGTGAAGAATTGTGCTGGAATTTTGATAGGGATTGCATTGAATCTGTAGATTGCTTTTGACAAGATTGCCATTTTTATTATGTTGATCCTACCTATCCAAGAGCATGGGAGATCTTTCCATTTTCTGGTATTCTCTTTGATTTCTTTCTTTAGAGACTCAAAGTTCTTGATATACAGGTCTTTCGTTTCTTTGGTTAACGTTATCCCCAGATATTTGATGGTGTGTATGGCTATTGTAAAGGGTGATGTTTCTCTGATTTCTTTCTCAGCCACTTTATCATCTGCATATAATAGGGCCACTGATTTTTTCCCATTAACCTTGTATCCTGACACTTTGCTGAAGGTGTTTATGAGCTCTAGGAGTTCCCTTGCAGAGTTTTTCTGGTCACTTATGTAAACTATCATATCATCTGCAAATAGTTAAAGCTTGACTTCTTTTTCTATTTGTATCCCCTTGATCTCCTTTTGTTATCTTATTGCTCTAGCTAGAACATCAAGTACAATATTGAAGAGATATGGAGAGAGTGGACTGCTTTATCTTGTTCCTGATTTTAGAGGGATTGCGTTGAGTTTCTCTCCATTTAGTTTGATGTTAGCTGTTGGTTTACTGTATATTGTTTTTATTATGTTCAGGTATGTTCCTGTTATCCCTGATGTCTTCAGGACCTTTATCATGAAGGGATGCTAGATTTTGTCAAAGGCTTTTTCAGCATCTAGTGAGATGATCATGTGGTTTTTCTTTTGCAGTTTGTTTATATGGTGGATTACATTGACAGATTTTCTAATGTTGAACCATCCCTGCATTCCTGGTATGAAGCCTACTTGATCATGGTGGATGATTTTTCTGTTGTGTCCTTGAAGAGATGGCTGCTAATCAATGCAGTAAGCATTAATACAGTACTCAGAACATAACTGTACAGAGGCTATGGAAGGAGTTTTATCACATAGAACACAAGCAGCTAAAGCGTGGATTTATCCAATGTCTGACCTGGTTTTGTGTCATAGCTATTTTGGTTTTTTACAAACTACTTCTTCTGTCTTCTTTCCTTTATGTTTCTTCTAGGACTTGGAGGATTTTATCACTAAGTTTGGAGACTCAGGTTTTGTTTTAGTTGCCCTGGGCTCCATAGCAAGCAGGTATCAGACCAAAAATTTATTAAGGAGATGAACTTTGCTTGCCTCCCTAATGGGGTGCTGTGGACATGTAAGGATGCTCATTGGCCCAAAGATGTCTGAATGGCCCCAAATGTCAAAATCATGGATTGGCTTCCACAGACAGACCTTCTGGGTAAGCAGCTCCTAGACCTGTTGCCTTATTTCCATTAATGTGCTTTTGAGATTTAATAGATAGCAGATGTCTGAGCATTTGGAATAGCAGAAGAAAAGCTGCTGATAGGTGAAGATGTATCTCTGGCAGGCAGGCAAATCAACTAGAGTTTTTGGGGGAATGAATCTGTGCTCTGGACTGTCAACAACAGCAACTTCCTTATCTTTTTCAACTCAGACAGGTCTCAAGCCCATATAGATGTGTAGCCTTGATTTATCAGTATTTTAAGATATTTATCAGTATTTTCACCACAACACAATTTTCAACAGTATGTGAGCTATAACTGCTCCCTGGGGCAGTGACTACTATTTGTTGCCACTATTCTCATAATGTTGTGACAACTCTTTAGCATTTTTAAACACATAAATTTGAATATAAGCATGCAGACACATCTTGGTTGCTGACAAATGGCTGCAAACTCAGACACAACATTGATGTTGAGGGTGTGAGGACATAGAAAGCTGTTTGAGTGTCAACCCAAGAAACTTCATAGTATAATGGAAGACACTGATTTCATGGGCACAGAGAATTCCCTAAAGCCACCTCTCCTCAAATTATTTGTTTCTATGTGACTGTTTGGAGACCCATCCTTCCACACTCAATGGCTAACATCAGAGCTTTGTACCAAAGACTGTGACAAAAAAATAAGCTGGGAAATTTTGCAAATAGATCTCTGTTGAGTAAAATCACAGGCTACACAATAGGGAAAAGACTCACTTTCCATGGTACAGGGGTAGATTTTGTGGGAGGCATAGTTTGGGATGGCTACTTTATGGTCATAAGAAATTTTTGGTTGCTTTCACTATGGAACAACAGACAAGACATGAAAATACATAAGTGTCTAGTCTACCATCCCCTTTTGTAAGCTTCTCTTAAAATAGAGGAGACCACACAGAGAATATAAGCTTCATAAGAGATCAGATGTGAGAAGCAAGAGAAGGCAGGGGTGAACATTGTAAAGAAGAAAGCATCAATGGAGAGGATCAGGATGAGTAGAAGGACAGAGAAACATGCCTGGCTCATTGCTCTCCTTGTAGCTGTCCCTGGGTTCTAAGTCCTTGATAGTTTTGGATTGAAGTAAGGCATATTTCTACAGAGGCATGGCTGGATATCATATCCTAGAACACTGGAAATCTCAAAAGCAGAATCATTAAATCCATTATCTCTAGCACATTGGTATTTCCAGGGTCTCCTGATTTACTTGGTATCTGAAACTTTCATGGTGAAATATTGGACTCTCTTTCTCTTTTGCAACAGCTCATCCTAGCATTCAGCTTTTTGTTGCCCATGGGGAACTGAGTAGCATCAATCATGGAGGCCATCCAGCATGGAGGGCCCATGGTGGGGATTCCCCATTTTTGGAGACCAATATGAAAACATGGTCAGAGTGGAAGCCAAGAAAATTGGTGTTTCTGTTCAGCTACAGACACTCAAGGCAGAGACATTTACGCTTACATTGAAAGAAGTCATAGAAGATAAGAGGTATGCAGCTCTCGGGGTTGTGGTCCCTTAGGCTGGATGCAGAGCAAACACTAATGGTTCTGTGTAGTCTGTTTATCAATGAAACCAGAGTTTTGTGAGATTTGTTATAGTACATGAGTGAATCTTGAAAGTCCTGCTTTTCCTTTGCTATTAATCCTCATTTTAGTTGAGGTGCTGAGAATATGCTTCTGCCTGATGTAGTGTGATCATTTTTGTATACACACATTATCTTCATGACCTCTTATATTTTGAGGACCTACAATATAATTCCAACTGAAGCAGGAGAGAACAGTTGTGTGTTCTTAGGGTGGCTGATCTCCCTGGCTCATCATATGCTTATAGGATTCCAATTAAATAAAAAAAAGACTTCTTAGTTACTATTCTATTGTTGTGAAGAAGTACCTTGACCAAAGCAACTTATAAGATAAAGCATTTAATTGGGCCTTATTCCAGAGGGTCAGTACATGACCATTTTGGTGAAAAGTGTGGCCGTAAGCTTGACATCTTGATCTACAGGCAGGAAGCAGAAAGATCAAGACTGTACTTGGAACCCCCCCCCCCAGTGACAAATCTCCTTCAACAACTTCATGGCTCTTATCCTTCCTAAACAGTCCACCTAACTGTGGAACAAACATTCAAATATGTAACATATAGTCTTCCTGCCAGTCGCTTGAGCCCTGTCCGCAGTTAGCAGCTTGGGTCCCACTGCTGTCTCAGCCCCCAAATAACACACATAACACACAGGATGCTATATTAATTATAAGCTGTTGGCCATTTGCTTTGTTTCTTACTGGCTAGCTCTGACTTAAGTATTTAACCCATAATTGCTAATCTGAATATTTCCGTGGGGTCTTCACTTACTGGAGGAAGGGTCCACATGTTGCTTCTCCTGCATCCTACATTGTGACTGATTGTGTCTCTCTTTCCCAGAATCCTCCTTGACTCCTACTCCCACCTATCTTGCTTTCCTATTGGCCAACAGTTCTTTATTCAACAAACAATAAGAGAGACAGATTTACAGAATGACATCTCCCATCACAAATATATGTTCTGTGAGAGACATTCCTACTCAAAGCACAAGGACCTTTGTGTGTTCTTAATGTGACTGATTTCCCCTCATCAATGTCTTTGTGTTGAGCCCAGGGTACTATCTGTCTAAGGATGTCCCGTTAGAAGACCATTCATCATATACTAGTTTCTTTTTGACACTTTGAAAAATTTGCAATATCTCCATCATGTGTGTCATTATTGTCTGTCCCATACTAGCACATAGAATGCATGTACCATGAAGAAGCTGTATGTATCATTTTCCATTCTATTCTTAGGTCCATGACAGGTCTATTATAGAGGAAGCTCACACAAATCTAGCACAAATGAGACAGGAACAGAGACAAGAACAGGTGCTCCACTTATCCTTTGACCATCCAGCACAATGATTTCACAATCTGTTTGGACTACACTCTCAGGTTTCAATGTCCTAATCACTTAATTAGATACATATCCTGTCACATGCGTTGAAATATATTAATGTGAGAATACCTTCAGCACCATAGGTACAATCCTTACAGACATAGTCATTTTAAAAAATTTCCCTTCAAGGGTTAGTTTTGATCTTTTTTGTAGAAGGTTTTTCTTTTTAGACTTTTATTGAACATTTAGTTGGGACTCAGGTAGATAGTGTCAAGTGTATGCCAATGATTTTGTTTGAAGATAATCTATGGGTATGTACTTTTAAAAATTTGTGTGTGTGTGTGTGTGTGTGTGTGTGTGTGTGTGTGTGTGTGTGTGTGTGTACTACTGGTATAGCACACTGCTAACACAGTCTCTCTGTGTCTGCCCACAGGTACAAGTCTGCAGCAATGGCTGCCAGGGCCATCCCACCCCCTAAAACCTTCTCAGCGTCTGGTGGGCTGGATTGACCGCATTCTACAAAAGGGGAGGAGCACATCTAAAGCCCCATGGCTTTCAACAGCCATGGCATGTGCAGAACCTGATGGATGTCCTACTGTTTTTGTTCGGGCTCACTCTGAGTACCTTCTGGCTATTGAAGAAAGTTCTGGGCTTGTTGCTTAGGTCCCTGCGTGTGACTAGGAAGGGAAAGAAGGTATAATGTTAAGTTTGATCTGGCAGGGGGAGGGGGGAAACTGGGAACTCTAGCTTTCAAAGGCTTCCCCCTTCCCTAACACAAGGCACTCCCAGGATGTATTATGAGCCAATTTAATTGACAGTGACAAATTCATTTTTCTTGGTAGAAATCAGAATTAAAGTTTATAGAAAATTGAAGGGTTGGGATAAATAATTTTTATGACTGCTATGGTAGATTTATTTCCTTTTGTCAGAGAAATTAAAATAAGGAAAGAAACTACAGTCTATCCACTTACTGGAGTAACAGCTGTATGTAAAATAGTATGAGCCAGAGATTTATAAATTAATACATAGTGAACTTCAATGTCAAGTAAAAAGATACAAAGAAAAGGGATAAATACAGAATGTCCTTATATATATGGTAGGAGTTGAGGGACAACAAACAATATGTGGCCATTCTTCACAAAAATATATGGGAAAATCCTGTGAGGGATCATTTGCAGTATGTGGATGAGGGTCACATATCACAATGCATATTATGTACAGCCTCAGGATTTGCATGTGTGCTAGTATTTTACATACAAAACTTATTAAAATAGAGAAAATTGTTGAACCCTTAAAATAAAATATACACAGTAATGAATGCACTTCTTCTCCAAGCATTTTTATAACTATGAAAAAAATACAATGCCAGCTGAGAAAGTTTAATTTGGTCATTAAGTTCTCAGATTAAAGACAAATATAATTGCAAATGACTTTGTAATTTATTATTTGTGCTTCATAGTTGTGTGGATTATCATTTGAGAATGCATTATCTTTACATAGGTTGACAAATAAATAAGTAGGTAATTTTATAACATTGAGAGGTTTCATAGTTACTAAAAGGGGAATCAAAATGGGGATTTGAGGAGAATAACAATGTTACCATATGGGCTTATGCTTCATCTTATGGGCTAATCCAAAATTATTAATTTTATCTGGTAAAGATAGGAAGAGCTCAACACAGAGTTATAAATAGGAGATTTTTATAATCTTTGCTAACCTGTTATTTCCTAGATCTGGCCAATAAAAAAGATAAAAAATAAAAACAGCAGTCTTTCACTAGCAAGGAGTAGACCAGGGTAACATGTTTCAGTCTCTAAATACATTTACCCATGCAAAAGAACTGAGTTTCTTTGAAAATGTGTGGTTTGAAAAACCCATTTCCTGCACAGCATCCCTGTCCCTCTGTCAAACTGATTTCATTCCACACAAGCCACACCAGACTTCTAGACTCCATCATGCTCCTGCCCAGTCTGCTCTTCTCATATATGAAACTGAAATGATGAAGTTCACATGCAGGGATCTCATCACAAAGGACCGGGTGTGTGTGTGTGTGTGTGTGTGTGTGTGTGTGTGTGTGTGTGTGTGTGTGTGTATGTATACGTATATATAAAGATCAAGGCAGTAAGCACCCCCAAATCTGTCAGGTCTATAGAATATTTGCAAATGAACATTCATACCTGGGTGATTCCAGGATGCAGAATTTAAAAGGAAAATTATAAACGTCATCAAAATTCATGGCCTTTAAAGAAAATACAAAGAAACAAAACAACAACATTAAGAAAGAACTTAAGGAGAATAAACACCTGGGTGATACCCATTAACAGCCTGGCATGGATGAAGGAGGGAAGAAGGGGCCCCATTCCTCAGTGCTGAACTATACTGGAAGAGAGGAATGGTTGTCTCCAGTCATGTGTCCCCTGGTGACTCCATCAGGCTCCAATAGAGAGCTCCAATCCAGTGGTTACACAGACAGCCCTCACTAAACTAAATTAGTCATAAAATAGACCCAAGGCCATGAATCTGGGAAAATGACTGATGGGAGGGGGTGACTGGACGGAGTAAAGAGGATGGCAGAGGGTAATCGGAATGCATTATGTACATGTATGAATTTGTGAACTAATTTAACTGATAAACTTCTTAGTGTAAGGAAGTAGCTGTTTGTGCAAGATTGATTTCCATTTTAAATGTCCTGAATATGAGTACATTTTATTTGGTTCAACAATTGGATTAACCACTCTTGATTAATTTCAAGGTCATCCAGAGCTCTGTGATGGGAACTTCAGGAGATGCAAAGATGAACGAGACTCCCTCCTGACCCGCTGGGAGCTCCCAACTGTCATTTATTGTTGACTGATCAGTTAGAGGCAAGGTTTCTCTGTCCTTGGTGGTGCTTCTTGTTTGAGTGGTCACTACTTACAAATTAGCTTTGCTAGCTCATAATTTCACTCGGTGAAAGTGAAATGATGCAGCTGGAGGTTCCCGGGCTATGTGAAGATGCTCAGGCTCCCCAGGGGTGAAAGAGGGAGGCACACTGAATCCCTGCTGTGTCTACACTTTCTCCTGACTTGTTAAGTACCATGTTATACAGGAAGGACCCCCTGAAATGGTGTCTGGCACAGAAAGAGATAAAGCAGTTTTTGAGCAGGTGGCTATTTTCTTGACCTTCAGATCATTCCATCGGAAATTACCTCAACTAATACTGACTTTTAAAAAAATAAATCTTCGTGTGATGTCTATGTGACATCTTCTGATCATACAGTTTATTTTAATGATCTTAATAATCAAGACCACTCTGAGAATACACAGGTAAAATCCATAACAGAAAGTGGAAGGGAGGCCTTTCTAGAAAGTTCTTGTCCTAGTTCCTTGTACAATTCCAGGAGGGAGCCTGTAGGTGAGAGTATGGGGGGCAGGGAGTAAGATGTCATAGATACTCAGTGTAAGAAATGTAGCTTACATGTATCTGCCCACAGCAAACAACTAAGGAGCCTGCTTTTGCTCTGGCAAAGGTATTGCTAAGAACAAGTGTGAAGTGAAAGCAGAATAAAGAATTAAAATAAAGAAGTCAAACAAAACGAAACAAAATAAAATACTAGGGCATTACCTATAATTACCTCTGCTTGCTCCTAAAGGTAGTGGTTTCAGGCTTCACCTGGCAGTAGGCTATTCAGGAAACTTCCTGAAACAATCAGACAATTCACCAAACATTTCTTTTTTAAACATGGCAGACCAGTTTTGATGCTATGGTAGAAACGGAACAATTGCCAATAGACTTACACCTCTCATTTCTTCAGAACAAACAAGCTTGGGCTTTCACAGTCACTGGGATTTCCTAGGTAACAGGAATGTAAACTTGAGGAAAGGCAGGACCAGCCTACGAATGACAGCGAGTTGAGCCAATCAGAGCATGAGTCTGCTGCAGGATTTCCAGGCCACCCAATTAGCACTGAAAGCTTTGAAGGGCAGGGACACCTTAAGAAGACCGGTGAGAGGGAGGAGACACAGGACCATAGGGAGGGTGTTAGAGTCCCCAGGTGCAGAAGTCTGTTTCTATAGTTTCAGCTCGAAGCAGCCTGTGGCTACCGATTAGCATTTCAGGTAACTTAATGTTCTTATTTATTCTATTAATTCTGCAACCTTTGCTTCATTTTAAACTGTGAGGTTCTATTATCTAAAAGTTAAAAGTTGTTGATAAATCATGTCCATCCCTAGGCTGTCAGTGCACAAAACTTGGCCCGAGGGGTAGTCTCTTGGAAGAGATGCTTAGAAAATAATCAATTTCGTTTAGCAAAATCCAAGGAGACAACAGTTTATGAGTGGCGTCTGTGTGCTGGGTTCTTGGATGAGGAGTGTTTAGATGATTGCTGTAAGTATCATGATGCCTCTGGTGAAATTGAGCTTAGGAGAATTCTATTTCCAAATCACAAAGCAATCAAACAGATATACACTTGTATTCCTATTTATTTTGTGATGTAGTTTTTACTGGTTATGCCACATCCCATAGATTGATGACAGATTCAGAATTAAAATTAAGGTTTTTAATTTACTTTTTTGGTTGAGTATTTTGTTCACAGAATACTATATTAAAATAACATCCCTCCCTCCCTCTCCTCTCACCACTTCCTCCTTTGCTCTGCTCACTCCTTCTCAAATGTTTGGCCTCTTCTTTATCATTGCTGCATGTAAACATCTCTCTCTCTCTCTCTCTCTCTCTCTCTCTCTCTCTCTCTCACACACACACACACACACACTAAACAAATCTGTTTAGTGATGGCAGTACGTTCTTGTGTGTACGTTCTTGTGTTTAGGGTTGGCCACAATGTATGGATAACCTGTCAGGGGACTTTTCCCTGTAGAAAAAAGGATTTCCCCTTTTTTTTTCATTCATGGATTACCTGTAACTCTTTTTCTTATGATGTTTTTAATTTGAATATTTTTGAAGACTAATATAATTTTACCATTCTCCCCTTCCTTTCCCCCCTCTAGTCCCCCATGCACCCATTTGATCTCTTTTATATTGGTGATGTGCTTATAAACACTAACAATATTTTGGTAGCTCTGAGAATGCTGTCTTATGTGCTGTATTGTACAAAAGAGACTGTGTGATCACAATACTGTGGAGTGTATATGGAATTTTAAGCATTTAATGAACCTTTGAATGGATTAAAAATAGAGGCACCCTTTATAGCTCTGATCCAGACCTGAGACAACTTTTTGTCAGCCCTAGTGAGGTGGAGCCAGTTGAGTGATGGTTTCTATGGTGTTAGTGGATAAGGCAATGGGCACATTTGTGACAGGACAGCATAGGTGTCTACCTTTAACAGAGAAATAAAGGTATTAGGTGATTTTTTTATGGGGATGATGCAATTGACACCTGGCACTACTATTTATGCTTCATGTTAAAAACACATGAAATCAATGATGCCCAGAAAGATGAAGAAAACATGGTTTAAAAACTGTCCTTTATGATGGTAGGCAAGAAGGAAATGACAGACTTCAGTTGGGATACCTCAAAATTTCCATTGGGATACCACGCATATAGAGTTAATTTATCCCAAGTCCATTAAATATGGATTGCCTATATTTCTGAACCAAACATTCGCATTTTTATTAAAGAGTATTGACATGACATTAAAAATTATATGAGACAGCTGACTTGATTAATGATAAGTTGAGAATGACCTTAATGAATGTAACCCCCTTTTATTATTCTGAAATGTAACAACTCTTTTAGGTTGGAAATTCATCTTCTCAGAGCTTTTCTCTTTTTTTCCCTCATATATCTTGCCACCACAGAAAGCTCCTTAGTTTGTTATAAGCTCCACGTATTGAGAATTAAATTTCATTCATTTGTTTTTTTCCATGTCAGTAGGTGATAGCTGTGATCAAATCTGTCTTAGTGCTTTTGTTGCTGTGAAGAGATGCCACTGGAGCACAGGACACACTGGAGGAGTTTGCAGTCTTAATTGATTGGACAGAAGGAAAAAAATGAGGAGTTAGGGAAAAACTTTTATCTTTGGTATACATTTAGAACTTGTAGGTCCAATGTCCTGGTAGGTTTACGTTGATTCCCTGAAGCTTACAAGATTTTGTTTTTTAGTTTATAAAAAGATATGTAAGTTTTAGATATGTTATCACTACCCCTGTTGGCAATCTGTATTGAAATCAGCATTGTACAGGGGAAGTAGACTCATGCCTTTGAGTCATAAGTGAAATCTTTCAGACCCAAAACAGATGTGGGGTTAAAAGTGCTGACACACTTTCAAGAGTGCTGGATATGTAGATTGGACAGAGATGCTTTTAGCATGATTGATTAGCACTTTTAAGGCTATTCTTAGAAGGCAACTAAAAGAATTTTAAAATCTTGAGCTTGTGACTTTAGCTCATAGTAGTCAGTGCTTACCAGAGCTCCACTGATGAATGTTAAAACTCTGAACTTTTGAAGTCTTATTAAAACAATGGCATAGAGAGGGAAAGAAATCTGAAGATGGGAAAATGAAAAATTTCTCCTTTTTCACACACCTTAAATCATTTTCTTGATGCTTTACAAATTGCATTTGTACACCTTAAGCCACCTTTTTTTAGAGCAAAACATTTAAAAATGTTTATTTTGATTATTTCAATTTTGTATTTTACCTTAAATTATAAGAATGAAAAACTGAAGATACTTGTTACAAGCTTACAGGATATTACATGAAATTTTCCCCATGAGGTAGTGACATTCAGTGTGTGTGTGTGTGTGTGTGTGTGTGTGTGTGTGTGTATGAATCTGCTTGGAACAATTTAACAAATTATTAACATTTTAGAGAGAGGCTTAGGATTAACTTATCAAGCGAGATATATTCTGTAAAAAAAAGTTAAGTTATAATTTTAAACTCAACGCAAATTCACCACAGATTATCAAAGAAAAGTCATACAAATTCAAACCAGGGCCAAATCCTAAGGAAAGAACTAATTTAGTCTTAGGAACCTTACCTTAGTGTGACACTAGATTGACATTAGCCTCATGTGGGAAAATAGCTTAAGATAACCCTAAGTCAACTATTGTAGTCATTTTAGTATTATAAAAATCCTCAGGGTCTGATAGATATGATATATAGTGTTCCTGGCTTGTTTAGTTGTTCAAAATGAAAGAACTACTCATCCAGAAACTCAGTCACCTAGGATGGAAGACATACAAGCTCACAAAGGACAAGGCAGAAGACAAGTTGTAAAGGAGTCATTGATGGTTTCTGTTTTGTTTTCCACAGTTTTTTTTTTTTTTGAGGATTTCCTCCTTGTTTCTTTTTTCTCCTCTTCTTTTATTTTTTTAAATTTAAGTTAGAAACAAACTCCCTCTCCCTCCCCTCCTTCCCCAAACTCCTCACCAGGTCCTCCAGTTCCTCACCCAATCTCCACTCGGATCCCTAGGGACGGTAAGGCCCTCCATGGTGGATCTCCAGAGTGTCATTTCTTCCAGGGCAGGGCCTAGGCCCTCCCCCAAGGGTCCAGGCTGACAGAGCATTCCTCATTGTGGGATGGGCACTCAAAGTCTATTTGTACACCAGGGGGAATTGGCGAGCTTTGTGTAGTTTGATCTGCTTGGTTTTTTTCTGAGTTGATCCTGCAAGTAGGCTGGGTGTTCTCTTCACCCCTCTTCTTTCTTAAATCACCTTCTTAAACCCTCTCAATGTAAGCTTTCACATCCTCAGACCTTCCCAACTAGCATTTACATATTTTAAACACTTTGTTAGACCTTTATAACTTGAATAAGCTTTTGACTTTTCTTTCCATCTAACCATTTACCATGGGATACAGGTTGTTGGTTAGTGAGAGCAGTCCCTGGGCAAAACCAGTTCCTTTAAACAAAGGAATGGTAAAAAGTTACTTTGAAACCTGTTTTGTGAGTTTATTTCTTTTCATAGTCTGGTAACAAGGCGAACTGTGGCTTTCTTGGCTGGACACAGTTCTAGAGAAGTGAGGCCCCAAGCCTGATTTTTGCATATGAAGGGAACTGAGACGGCCTCTGTAGCCTTGGGGGAGGAGCTGGTATGGTTGCTGCTGTTCCACTGACAAAGCTATCATTAGCCTAATGGTATAACAATGGCAGTGGTGGGTCACCGCCAAGGTGTGCTTGCCACTGCCACACCCTTAGGATGATTGCACCATGCTGGTCATTGCAGTTCATAAGCTTTATAGGACTGTTGGTTGCTTTCTCATGTGAAGGCTTGCGTGACAACTTCTGGTAACATGGAAGTTGGTCCACAAGGAGGAGACTTTAGGTAGGTTCCAGTTCAGGGGCTCTGTGTCTGAAGTGAATGGTATCTTCAGCAATAACCTTCCACCTCTGGAAAGGCAATAGCAACAGATGCAATGTTTTAAGATTTTCTAATTCAGAGGTCTTCTCATGCCTGTTGGTGGAGTTTTTCTTACATGGTCTTTGATTCTTTATGGGAACATGGATGGAAAATTAAACTATGTATGTACATTAGCATAGGTATTGCTAGGTAAACAGTTACTATGGTGATTTCTTACGATGTTTTGAGACATCCTTACATTTATCTTACTCTCCTCCCTGTTTCCTGCTTTCCTCCCTTTCTATCGTAGAACTCTCAGCTCATTTTTTCCTATTTCTCCCATCACAACACTTGTGCCCTGCTATTCATCACTCTATTGTTCCTCCAGCCCCTTAACCCGCGAACGTTCCCTTCTTAATTTCCCGGCTGCTGCAGTTATTTCAGGATTTGAACTCACATTTGGAGATTTAGAGCTAGGAGCTTCTGATGAGAAGACACATGTGATTTTTGTGTTTTTAGATCTGTGTTACCTCACTCAGTTTGTTTTTTCTAGTCTGATCCATTTACCTGCAATTCCATGGTTTCAGCTTTGTTTATAGCTGAGTAGTACTGCATAGGCCTATGTACCATATTTTCATTATACAGTGCTTATAATATAATTATATTATACATTATACCACATTTCATTTGTCTGTTAATTTGTCATGTAGATTGTTTCCTTTTCCTAGCAGTAAGAGAGCAGTAATGAACATGACTGAGCAAGCATTCTCAGAATTGAATATTCAATCTTTTTGGAATATGCCAAGAAATTATATATGTGGG